AGGAGTCCTCCCCATGAGGAGCAACAATGTGTGATGAACTGACCGCAACCCTCATTCCCCATTCCCGTTCCCTGCGCTACTGGGGAGAAGGAGGTAGAGAATTCAGGAGTAAAGTTACACCCGGGAAGAAAGGAGGGGTGGAGAGAAGAGGTTTTAAGATTTGGTTTTGTTTTCTCATTAACCTATTCTGATTTGATTGTCAAAAATTGAATTCATTTTCCCCAAGTCAAGTCTGTTTTTCCTGTGATGGTAATTGCTGAGTTATCTCCCTGTCCTTATCTTGACCCATGAGCCTTTTAAAAAAATATTTTCTCCTCCCTGACCAGCTGAGGAGGGGAGTGATAGAGTGGCTTTGGTGGGCATCTGATGTCTAACCAGGGTCAACTCACCACACTTAGCTGGGGTGACATCTGTCCAAGACAGGAACAGGCAGATCCTACCTCAGATAAATCTTGCCTGGATAATACTCTATTCCGTGCAGTGACTGGGAGTTCTGCGTAAGTGAAATTACTAACAACTGCTGAAGTTATCCCAGCTGTTTCTATTTCATGAGGTCTGAAATGGGGAAATCACAGTTCTTTTGACATTGCTTATGTTTTAGTGATAATTTTTATCAGATCAGCTTTGGCACATTTAATAAATTGTACCTTGAAAAATAGCATGAAAACAGGATTGGGAAAATCAAGTACCGTCTGTTGGAAAATAACCCTGTTTCAGAAAAAAAAAGAGAAAATTTTGTGCCTGAAGCATTTCTGCCAACTTGAATGATAATTTTTCTCCTGAAAAAGAAAGGTGTCTGTGCTACTATATAGTGAATATATTTTATATTGCCACAACAGTTCCTTGTTTGATTTCTGAAGTGTCACAAATTTCTGTGAGAAGGAAGAGCTTGTTTAAGTTAAGCTGTAACAGTACTTCATGGTCAGCAGAATTAACTCCTTAGTCAGCATCGCCTCAATAAATGATACCTTCATCTAAGTGACTATTTAGGTGTATTCCAGTAGTTCTCTATATAATTTAGAATGTGGTTCTGATTCATAAATGAGTATTTCCTGACGGGTTATCTTCATTCTTTTTTTCCTGCACTGCTAGCGTAGGCCCCAGTGATGTACTCATACCGGGGTGCGAATGAGAGGTGTTCAGCTTCTCTGTGGTTCTGGTTTTGCCCATTGGACTTAGAGACTGCAAAACCGTGTGTTCCGTTTTGTCACTTTCCCGAAGCTCAGGCTCAGCCTCTTCCCCGTGTCTCCACGCCAGGCGATGCAGCAGCACCACCCTGTGGGAAATAACATTTCTTCTCATGCACAGGACCCTCGGCAAGAACTGGAGGGCAGGGTCTGCACGGAGCATCCCCGGGCAGTACCGCCGGCCAGCGCAGTCCTCCGCAGCCTGGAGAAAGTAAGGTACAGTAAAGAGGTGTCTTGCATCGCTACACCTCACGGTGAATTTCTTTGCTGTGGTGAAGACTGAGCCATTCTGACTCTTCAGAAAAATCCAGGCTTACATTTTTCTCAAAATGCTTCACTTGCTTCTCCGTATTTCTGCAAGGTTCATTTTCCAGGAGGGAAGCAGGAGGGGATCTGGTGGCAGGGTGTGGAGGGGAGCGGGGCTGTACCACCATGGCTTCCTGACTTCAACCCTACTGCTGTTCTGACCCGCTTTCAGGAGTGGTGTGTCAGTCCTGCTCCCGGTCC